GGGGAGCGGACAGCCCGGAGGACTGCGTGGTGACCGCGGCGGGCTGGAGCCGGTGAGCGGGATGGGACGGGAAGTGAGGTGACTCAGGACCCGCAGGCGGGGGTGGGGGTGGCGCAGGAATGAGGACCCGGTGCGTGCAGTGTCCCGAGTCTCAGGCAGGATGGAGAAACCGCAGGCACGGCTCGATTTTTGGAAATCAAGGTTAATTCAAGGGCGTGCAGTCTCTGTGCCTGCTCCGTCTGCTCTTCAAATACTCCAGAGCTCTGTTGGGGACATCAGGGATTCAATTCTGAATCCTTCCAGCAACTCTGCGAGGGAGGGAATACTTATCTCGGGGTTACAAACTAGGGGCCCCGAGATTCGGGTTGAATTACTTACCCAAGATTACACTGCAAACTAGTGGAGGTTGGATTTGAACCGGGCCCTGTGAGACTCCCAGCCTTCATGCGTCCTCCCTCCTGGGACCCTGTGGGGCTCACCTCATCCCGAGGCCCTCGAGCACCCCTCCTGGCCCTCACAGATGGCGGGGCGCAGCGCTGGCCCAGGACACCCAGCTGGGCCTACCCGATGCTGACCTTCACCAGGGTGGGTGTGAGGGGTTCGCTTCTGTTTTTCTTGGGGTGGGGGGAATGGCATTGGCCCTCCCACTTCCCTGCGGGGTGGAGTGGGTGGGGGACAAATCACTTTCCAGTACAGTGTTTCTGAAATGCAGGTGTAACCCACTCATGGGTCACAAAATTGGTCGAGACCAACATTTAAAAGAATACCAGTGCTTCGCACAAGCAAGTGTAGGTTTTGTTTGAGAACCGCCTCTTCCAGGGCTGGGGGTGTCCTGAGTTGTAATTTAAAGGGTCGTTAAGACCCTGCTCCAGGGGCACCTGGGTGGCTCAGTCGGTTAAGCGTCTGCCTTCAGCTGAGGTCATGATCCCAGGGTCCTGGGATCGAGCCCCGCATCGGGCTCCCTGCTCCAACGGAAAGCCTGCTTCTCCCTCTCCCTCTCCCCCTACCTGTGTTCCCTCTTTTGCTATGTCTCTCTCTGTCAAAAAAAATCTTTAAAAAAAAAAAAAAAGACACTGCTCCAGAGGGCACAAAAAACACACCCTTGGAGCTAAGGCCCAGGGAGGCTGCCTCCGGCCTCCGATACCCCACACTCCATGCGCGGACTTCTTCAGGTGGCGCCTTGCCTCAGGAGGCTGCGGAAACCTTCCTGGACTGAGTGTGCCTGGCCTGTGGGCGCGGGGGAGGGGGGGCGGGGAAGAGGCATCCTCCATCCTTGTCCCAGGGGCAGGGTATAATGATGTGACTGGACTTCCTGCTCCCCCAAACTAGCCTCGGTGCAGTGGGATTTCCCCCGAGGGTATATGTATCGCCAGGAGCTTGGGCTGCTGGTTCCCTGACCTGGCCACGCCGCAGATCCACGCCCGCACCCCTTTCGTGCTGCTTATTCCTGTGCCCTTGCTGGAACATCCTTCCCCTTGTACGCCATGGACTCCTTGGTGGCGGCCTGCAGAAATGTCAGAGGTGCCTGTCCTGGGAAGCATTCCAGGACACCTGCATGCTGACTTTGGCCCCCTTTCCTTAGCTCCCATATAATTGGGTACAAGTGCTCTTTACTGTGGCTCTTTTCAAATAGCATTTCTTGCTTATCCTCCACCAAACTCACCTGGCAACAACTGGACTTCCCTTGTCCATCTGCGCAACCCACTTCCCGCCCCAAATCCCCAGGGTGGTCCTGGAGCTATTCAAAAGGTCCTGCTGTCGCCGGATCCCCTTCCTTCCCTCCCTCTCTCCCTCCCCGCCATCCTCTCTGAAGTTTCCCTCCTTCCCACAGAGCCAGAGCACCTGCTTAGAAATGGCAGCAGCCTTCCTTGGCACGAAGCTCTGCGCAGCTTTCTCAGGCCGTGGGCTTGGCCAGGTCGGGGTCCTGGGCCCCGAGGAAGGGGCTGCTGGCATTGGCTCTGAATCTCTGCCCATGCAGCCCGGCTTTAACAGCTGCCCTGCCAGGCCTGGAGGACATCCGGGGCTCTCCTGTGGCTGCCCGGCTGCCCCGCTGGGCCTGCCTTTGTCTTGTCCTTCTGCAATCTGGGCTCAGGCCCCGACTCGCAGTGTGGGGCTGTCCTTAGGGGTCTGGCCAGATGCCAGGTACTGGGGAGAGGCCTGTCCTGCCCTTGGGATGCCCGTGTCCCCAGGGTGGAGACAGCTACAGTTGTGAAAAGACGAACCAGTGTGCCAAGGCCTACAATGGAAGCCCCAGGCAGGAGGCCCACTCCCACCTGGTGAGCAGAAAGCCTTCCCAGAAGAGCCAGCCGTGGGCTCACCAGCCTCCATCCCTGAGGAGCAAGGAATGCTGGCCGCTGTGGGGGCCGTTCAGATGCCACAACGTTGCTTCTCACCCTGAGCTCCTCAGACTGAGTCTCCAGGCTTTTCTGAGTTCATATAATGAGTTGGGCTCACTTACTTTTTGCACATTTCCAGCCAAATAAAAGCTCCAAAACATTTTATCAGCAAGGCTAACCTGCTTGAAGGTCCTTGACGAGTAGACTTCTTGAAGCTTTACAGTGGGCATATAGGGTTAGAGACGTGGTCAAGTCCAAGGCACCTGGTGTCCAGGTTTTATCTTCAGCACTTGCAGTTCAGCGCTTGAACCCACCGCGGACTCATACTACCGCTCTTTCCATTCCTTGTCCTCACCTCAGCTTTCACGGCTTCTTGGGTTAGAAAGACGGCTTCCCGAAATGCTTGCCAGCCCTCAAATCTGAATGGCGCCTTTTTTGTCTGAAGGGAGGCTGACTTCACGAGGGTCCAGTCAGACCTGGGTTCTCATCCTGCCTCCACCACTTCCTCATGGAACCCCGGGGCGAATTCTTAATCGCTCCATGCCTGTTTTCAGGGATAAAGTGGGCCTCGACAGGATCTCCCTCGTGGGGTTGTGGGAATTAAATGGCGACAGAAATTTCACTCATCATGTCCCGGATGCCTCGGTCAAAGACCTGCCAGCCCATCAGATTCTCATCAAATGCTGGCTGAAAGTTTCAGCTGCTAATTAGATATAAAATTTGAGACATTTTTTCCTATGAGTTGATGACCCCTTCCCAGAGGCTGGCCAATCCTAGTGTGAACTTTTGTGAAAGCAGACAGGATGCATCTGATGGTGTGGTGAGGAACGGGAATACCATTACAGAGGTCAGGTTGGATTTGGATTTCTCACATCCAAGCTTCTGGAACACATCACCGGCGGAGAGGGATATTGGTGGGGATGTTTGTGCTCAGGCTCTGCCTGCATCTGCACCAAATGGAGACTCCACTAATGTTCTAGTTATCAGTGTCACCTGGGTAGAAGGTGTTTCCAGACAAGTGAGACCCCAGAGGTGCCAAGGATCAAGCTTTATAGACCTGAACTGTGTCCTCTTGGACGGGCAACATTATGGCAATATGGCCTTCCCTTCCTACAAGTTTCATTTTTGCCTCAGGTCTTGTATTTTCAGTGAGTTTTATGTAAGATTTGTAGCCAGTGGGGACCTTTTGAAAGACAGTAAATCACTCTTTTGCTGCTAAGTGGAGCCACCGGTGGAGTCAAGTGCTGGTCAGTCCAGAACCCTCAGCCTTGTAGATGCCTGCCTTTTCCGCCCGTCCACACGACACAGTCCACGCTTCCTCGGGCTGGGGTGGGGGGCTGATTCGCTTTTATCAGGGAGCACGTTATACATAACCATTTCTTCCTCCTAAATCCCTTCCTCCTCAAATATTAACTAGAACTCTCAAAATAAGCACTCATTCCTCTAGCAAGGCTGGTTATAGGTAGGTCTGCGTTAACCCTCCTCGCTGTTACATTTGGGGGGGAAGTCAAACTGGGGACTCACGAAGCACTGATGTCCCAATTTCTGTGCTAGGCGCCAGGGGCATAGTAAGTAGCTCTGCCTCTCATCAGCTGTGTGACCTTGAGAAATTGTGTCCCAGGTTCCTCATCTGCGCATTTGAGATAGTATTAGATGAGGAAACTTCACTATTTCATACAGCCATTTTAAGTATCATCTGCACTAGTACAGACGAAGTACCTAGAACACCGCCAGGCACATAGAAGGTGTTCAGTTAATAGGAGTGAGGAGGATGATGACAAATGGAATGATGAAGGTCCGTGTCCTTAAGGAGCTTATGTAGCCTCGTCACCTTGTCCCACACAGAACTGAAGGCAGGTTCTTTCAACTGCCAACTGGGATGGCCAATATTCTTGTTGGCCAACACTTCGGTGAGGGGGAAGTAAGACTCAGGTCGGGTTTCTCTGCTCCCCACACACTCCCTGTCCCAACTGAAACTGTGCTGTATGGTATTTTGAATACATAGTGTGGTTATTTTGGGGTTTAATAATTCATGTGACTTGCCCAGCCAAAGAAAGCCCAATTTATAATTCAGACCTTCTAACGGCCACACACTTTCCTCCCCCCAAAGGTGTACGCATATGTCCATGTTTATTAGTAGGGGCAGGAGGGCGCTGTGTGTAGGTATGAAAGGAAATAAAACAGACAAAAACCAACAGAACTTAAACACAACAAAACAACAGCCCAAGACAAGGTCATGGTCTCTCCATTTCTCTTTTAATACTGAACAGTATTCTTTGTACAGCTGTAACATGATTTCAAGAGCAGAAGTAAGAAACATTACTAATAGACTTTAGGGTGTAAAAATACCACTTTGAAAGACAGCTAGTTGAGATTTTTTCTTACACAAGTATTTTTAAAAAGTTTTCAAGTTTATTGTGTCATCAGTTTGTTTAATGTCAGGATTACACACAAAGCTGTGGAAGAGCTTTTATTATGCAGGGAGTAGCCTAAATTCCACGATGCAGTAGCAGTGATTCTGAAACTAGACTGGGCGTCAGAACCCCCTTGGAGGGCTTGTGAACACCCCAGAGTTTGTGATTCAGCAGAGCCGAGGGGAGCCACGAGAACCTGCATTTCTAGCAAGCTCCAGGGCGATGCTGCCGAGGCTGGTCCCGCACCGCACTTGGGAGACCTGGCCTGCAGAAAAACAACGCATCTACCTGTGGCGAGGGGCGTAAACTGGCACCAGGACCACTGGGCTCTTCTCATGAGGACTCGGGGGAGGGGGGGGACCATCTGGAAATCACCCAGGCATTTGCAATTCTAATCTTTGATCTCACTTCTTTAGTTTGTACCTTCCAGTTATTTAAAAATGAAACGCTGTAGGTTATTTATCCCTCGAAGAAAAATACAATGGTTTCATCTTGCTCAGTACTGCCAGGTATTATACATTTGATTTTTCCATTACACTAATTTCTGATTACAAATGAGCCAGTGAAAGCATATTTTTCCACTTACAAAAAAACGAATCCACAATCATTTACAGCTTGCTGTCTTTGGCCCTTTCCTGGTTTCCAGGCCGCCCTCACCCAGGGCGTTCTCCCAGCCTGGGTCGAGCTAGGACGGAACCACATCCAGCTTACAAGCAAGTTCCAGTAACCCATCCTAGTGGGGGACACCTGGCTGGCCTCTCCCTGCCCTGCACGGATACTTTCTTTTCCTGAGGACTAGGACATCTGCCTCTCCCAGGGCGCACTTTACCCACGGGGTTGCAATTCCCGTTCAGGAGCAGGGTCTCAGCTAAAGCCCACTTTCTGCAGAGCAGAAAGAACAACGGTGAACGTGGTCTCAGCCCAGGGCTGGCAGAAAGCCCGGCTCGTGCGGAGCGCCCGGCTGACACGCGGCTACACCACAAGGCCCAAGCTTTGCTCAGCGAACAGTGAGGCTGGGGGGTCTTATTTCAATCACCCCCTGGATAATTGAGTGGCTTCTGGGTTCAAGAACTCATAACCTTTAAAAAAAAAAAAAAGGATAAAATACACTTTCTCACAGTGGACCTGTGCCAAGCAGCCGGGCAGGTGACCGGGACAAATCACCCTCTCAGCACAGTTCCCGTCTACACAGCCTTGGGGAAGGGCATTTCTGGACAAAAGTCACATGGGAAAGAAAACAGCACCAACACACTAGCTTATGTCGCAGGGAAACCAAGTTCTTTTTCTTCCTTCCCCACCTAGCCACACACTTGTTATCTGCAGAAACCAGATCATGAAGAAGTGCCGCCTAGAGGTAGATGGCAGCAACACGGCAAGACCCCCCGGGAGCTTTCAGAGCTTCAGTGTTCATCCAAAAGCAAAAAACACCAAATGGCTGGGGTGAGGGGCGCGCACGACAGGTCACTACCAGCCTACCTTGTTACGTCGCTGAGGTCGCTTGTCCCTGGGACCAAGTCCAGCATGCAGCGCCGCAAATGCCCCCCGTGTCTGTTGGAGGAGCTGAGCTGGGGGCTCCAAGGCCTTCTGAGGGCACCGTTGGGGCTGCTGACCCCAGGAGCCAGCGAGCCTGGGGTTTTGGCCCCGCCGTGAGTGACCAGGCACTGGGCCTCAAGAGCCAGAGCCTCGGAGCTTCTCTGCACTGCTCTTCTCGTCTGATGGCTGTTCTACTCGGAATTCTCTTGATTTTCTGGACCCGACAGCCAACAGCAGCTTCGCAGTGAGCGTCACAGCAAGGGGCCCACGGTGAGGCCGGCGTCCGCGCTTCCATAACGGCCAGGCGCAGGCCTTGCAAGAGTAAAACCTCCTCACTGGAAGCGCAAGCATGTCCGTGAGGGTCGGAAGCCGGATAAGGACAGCTAGACAGGTCAGCCCGGTGCAGCTACCGCAGCTGCCCCCCACTCAGAAGCAGAGGCCCCGGGAGAAGCCCTCCGCTGTGCCCCCGCCGGCCACCCAGGGCCGTTCACTGGGCACCATCTTCCTGCATGGACTGGACGGGACAGCGCCGCGGGACGGAGGGGCTAGAAGTTTGCGAGCCCTCTGGTTTCCCCTCTCTGCTCTTGATGGAGAAAGAACGTGCTTTTCAAAAGCGTTCTTCTGAAAAAATAAGAAAGACATGGCAGCTAGAGGAAGACAAAGGGAGGTAGTGCATGCCGTGTTTTACAACTTGCGCTTCTCAGGCCGGCCCGCTGCTGTTCTGCTTCCAAGTTCATCCTGCAGCACGAGGCGAAGCCAAGCAGTCCGAGCCCACTGAGCTGAAAAGCAGCTCTTCTGTGTAATTCAGTTCCTAGATCTTCAAATGCTGTGAATTCTCTAGAAAGGTAACGGTCTCACTTTATAGCCAGGGAAATTACCAAAAGAAAGATCTTGGCTCTGCCACCTTCACTTACAGAAGGTAAAACACTTCACAGAGACAGATTTCTGTTGGAGTTAGACTAGATTTCTCTTCACAGCCCTGATTCTCACGAGGTGAGAAGGAGTGGGAGTTGCCAAGTGGTTGGCTACCAGACCCATCAGTCTGTTTAACTCTGGCTAAAAGCAGAGAATAATGGGCAAGCCACCAAGTTTCTCCCCCTTCGGCTCTGGCGTGAAGATCCTCATGTAACACACACGCTGCGACTTCCAATTGCCACCCAGCAGCGGGCACCCACAGAGCGCTGGGAGCGCGCAGTCCGCACAAAGGCAAGATGAAAAATTAGGACTAAAAACTAAAGGTATTTCAGTTTTCCAGCTGGATCCCCACTCTGGCAAACTCTCTCAATGGTTCATTCCCCCCAATCTACCCCCCAAATCAGCTGATTAGAAACACGTCCTTCCAATAAACCGATAAACGTAAGCTGAGCTCTCCTTGTATCCATCATATTCTGCCAGTTCCTTAGAAATGATATGTGTCGAGGTGCAGAGGCTGCAGGAAAAAGCCCACACGCTGCAGGATGTGCCTCTAAGCAGTGCAGAGGGTCACCAGGGTCTACCTCTCTCCCCATTCTATGGGCAGGGGGGCCACGTAGGTGCCCCCAAAAGCCCGGCAGTGTTAGGATCGCTGATGAGGAAATACTTATCCTCAAAAATCAGCCTAAGCCTCTGGCTTGTTCCCTCGGACTGCCCTGGTTTTCATTCTGAGCGGAGACGTCTATAGTGATGCCCACTTCGGGCACAACAGGGTCAGGCCATGATCATGCTGGCGGGGCTGAAGCTCTGCTGGGGGCAGAGCTGGCGCGGACAGTTACGGTAAGAGGCTGCCATGTTAAAGAGCATTCCTTCGAGGCGCGGAGACAGGGGCGGTGCTTGTATCTTAAACTTTCTCCTCCTAAATAATTCCCTAGTCAGCGTCAGCGGGAGTCTGGTCTACAATAGCCACTGTTTAGCAAACACTTGAAATTAAGTGAGGTCATCATGCCGATTCTAAATCTATCCAGACATTTAGTAATTAAGTCTCCGGGTCACAACACTTGGCCCCCCACCCCACCTCAGGGAAGCATCGTACTCATTAATGACCAGGCATGTTCCCAACAAGCCCCACGGCCCCACGGCCCCACATGACAGTTAGTTGTGTGGGGCACAGTAAACCTGATCATAGCAGGAGAAGAGCATGGCTTTTAAATGGCGTGATCATATAGGTCATTAGGCTGCCGGCTGCCTCTGGTAATGCGGATTGTGGATTACAGTACTGAGACAAGGTCCCCATTTATGGCGAACAAAGACCTGTACGTTTTAATGCAAATCTAAGGACCATCCCTGTTCTAAGTTTAGAGAAGACTATTTGAATGAGTCTCAAAACTTGTAAAACAAATAATCTAGTACCCAACGTCTGAAGCCCTTTGTAGTTATCTTTTTTTTTGCTAACTTGAAAAAAATAACTTATTTATATATCAAATAGAGTTGAGTGTAAACGTGGATGTCAACCACCCTTTTAGTTTTATAAATCTGCTTTTAGCTTTCATTAAGAGGCAGATTTCCTTACCTACCATGATCCTAGCCATGAGAAAATACCCTTCTTTAAAAAATTGTTACAAATATTTATTAAAAAGTGCAATTCATAAGTCAGCTGGGCAAGTACATTATTGCAAATCACAAAAAAGGGGGGGGAGGAAGCCCAAAGCAAATAAACAAAAAAACCCCAAGAAATACAGACAAAACATGAAAAAAAGGAAAAAAAAATAGAGTGTGCTGAGGAATGGGCCCCAACAGATGAGGAAACAGGAAGTCAAAGCTAGAGCTCTATCCAGACGTTGCTGTGCTTTCCAAGTGCAGAAGGTGGAGGGGGAGTGGCCCCTGCCGCAGGGCTCCGGGTCAGCTGCTGCTTCAACATTGGTGACGGCATCGGGGAGGTTATAAAAATATCCTATAGACGCTGGGATGCTGGAGGTGTTTAAAAAATCGGAAGCTTGAAGTTTAGCATCTCAGCAGTTTCAGCTACTAAAACTCAATTAAAGCTTCCGTTCTTTAAATTTGGATTGGCTCAGTTATTTGACTGGATGATTAAAAAAAAACTGAGTCGTCATCTTAGGGGGAAAAAAAACCCCACCCAAGTTCACCTACCCATTCTTGCCATTACTCACAGGGTAAGAAAAGTCCGGTCCAGAACTAGTCTTTTTGGTCATTAGGGTTTCTGAGTGTCGCTACACTGCCAATGTACTAACCCCCCCCCCAATGCAGAGTGCCACAGGAACGACCTAACCGGCCATGAGGCTGGCCCCGGATCCAGACCATCCAAGTGTGCGGCTAAGCTGCACCATACAGGTAAGGGGCATCCTCCAAATACAAGGTGCACCAGGATAGCAACATGATTTTGGCAAGGCTCTGATCTCCCGCAACCTCACCCACCCTTCCCTCAGCTGTGCAAACCCTGGGTCCTGCTACCCTCTCCTCCCTTTGGTTCAAGCCCCAGCTGTTAGCACCCCCAAAGCCTAGTGCTTTCCGTTATTTTTCATTAGTTATTTCTACCACAGAATAATGAGCCTGGAAAAGCAATTTTATCCCAGCACTTATCCCTGAAAAATGGATCACTGCGTCTTCTGTCACAAACTGCTTCTGGGCCTTGTGTCCCCATTAGCAACCAGCTCTTGGGGGGGCCAAGGGCTGCTGCCGCAATGGGAAATGAGACCTGCCCGGGAGCCCGCACTCCTGACGGCGCTCTCGGGGATGGGACAGCGGTGTGCTGTCTGAGCTGGCGGGCGGCGGGGGGGAGAGCTGCCAGAGATGGATGGAATGAGCAATAGCAAGCGCTAGTGGAGTCTGCAAACTTTTCCGGATTCCTCAGAGGTTGTCCCGGGGGCCCGAGGCCCCAGAGGCAAGCAGTGCCGAGCCGTCCTCAGCACAGGACAGGTGGCCCCGGGAGCGCACAGTCATCGCTTCCTCTTCCCAGCGGCCCTGCCAGCACCGGGTCAGAGCAGCTATCTCAGTGGTGGGGTCACAAGGAGGAAAGTCAGTGCAGGCTGTTTTCCAGAGAGGAGTGTGAAGAGACGGCAACGTTGGGGTGCTGCTTCCCGCCTCCCCCGGGGTTCGTGAGCAGGAGGAGCCGCGCCGGGCCGCCGTCACAGCACTAAGAAGAAGACCAGCACGACCACCAGGACCACAAAGAGGATGGCGATGGCACACCACTGGCGCCGATCTGGAAGGCAGGACACAAGGGTCAGCGCTCACGACTCCACGCTCCCCAAGGTACAGTCACATGCACCACCCTGAAGCAGAGAGGGGACAGAATGTGCACACGACGGGCGCACAGAGGCTCTGGAGCCTGCCCGGGGGGTCGGGTTTCCTGGCCTGCTCCGTGTGTGCAGCCACAGTGCTGCCAGTCTCCTGAAAATGGGCCTCTAATAGTACTGCTTTGTGTCTCAAGCCTTTCATTAAAATCTGTGGCGCTCAGCTTGCTGCTGGTGAGTACCACGTCCCTGGAAAGGTGTTGGCATCGGCGTTATGGATCAAAGCTCGTTTGCTTTCATCTCCTACCGAAGTCAAATCATTTCATTCAACAACAATCGGTGAGCACTATGGGAGGATGGAGAGAGGATAAAAGCGCCTGCTGGTCACTTCAAGAAGCGAGGAGCTGAAAAAGCAAGCTCTGAGGATCGAGAGCACGATCAGCACTACCCCCACTTAACCAGTAACTTACACAGCTTACCTGTAAAGGAAAGTGGAATGTCTTCTCTGAAACTTCTGCACCCTACCGATACTTGAGGACAAGCACTGGAAGCGAAGTGGTTAGAGTCCATCCAAACGGCCGGGAGCAAGGGGACTTGAGGGGCAGGAGGGCCCACACAGGCCCCAGGGGAGACCTGGCTGCACCCACAACCCTGACCGTGGGCTCGTCACGCTGCACAGAGGCTGCCTGGCAGGGCTTTGTGAGCGTGAACACGAATACCCTCGCACACTCTGGGCTGGGCCAGGCCAGGCATGGGGCCCAGGATGCCTCCTTAACTTGTGTAGGTGTAGAAAGAACACGCGGTCCTTCCATAGACGGGTCCTGCATTTTCCACAAAGGGTCAGACTGACAGAACAGAATTTCACTGGCCTATAAAAACGTAGTTCGACGGCCAGAAATGATCACTCCATTTAAACAGAAATATAAAGGTATGCTGATTCATCAAAAGTTTATTGGAAAGCCTGCAGATTGTGGCATACCACAGCGAATGAGACTCACATTACATAAAGGTCTGAATCTAGGAAAAGAGATTGCCAAACTTTCTACAAAGCAATGCTAAGTCCACAAACCAAGGACTTAAATTATTTAAATGTCATGGAAAGCACAATCTTAGAACCAGCCAACAGACAGCCACCAACGGACAGTAAGCAAAGCAAGTACCTTCTTAGTGGTGATCACCTTGTTCTACTTCCGATGTGCTAGAAACTCACTTAGTAAGTGTGATTAGGGCAAAGACCCCAAGTCTGTTGGTTCCTTATCTGAACAGGGACTAGTCCAATGGGCATGGGAGGCAGAATCGGCCTATGAGATAATAATCTGTTTATCACTTCACTGGCCAAGAAAACTTGAGTATCTAGGATTTTTCATCTATTTAAAAATGTTTACGATAATTTAAAAACACTCTCACTAAAATGATTAATCAATATTCTTCCAGGACAAAACAGTCAAGGTAATTGCTTCCTAACCACCTCCACCCCCCAACTTCATACAGATCCCTGCCCCTCCCCCCATCCTGCCATTCTCAAACCCAGATTCCCAATATTGAACCGGTTTTCTACTTTTTGGCTTTCCACCAGCCTCTACCCAATCCCCTCCTACCTCCAATCACTCCCTCTTCCCCAACTGCATTAAACAGGGGATTTTCATCGAGAAGTTGGGTCACACAAGCCAGCACAACCCAGGACCGCTCTTTTAAAGCCATCTTCCTCTGCAGTGCTAAGCTGCTGCTTCGAAGCAGGAACCAGGTAAGCTCTGGGAGCTGTTACCCCAGCTGACTTCTCCCCAGAAGGGGTGAGTACCAACCACAAAGGCTTCTGTGCTCTCAAGTGAAAAGCCTAACCAGCTTGGCAAGGTCAAGACCTGTTTCAAAAAGATAGGAACAAAGAGAACTCCAATGGCAAGTTTTTTCCTCCTTCCAGTATATTTTTCTTCCCTAAAGAGAAAAGAACGACAACAGAATTTTGGAAAGTGAGGGGAAGAAAACCTCTGTTATCTACTCAAAAGAATATACTTCCCTTGGGTCACTCGAAAAGGCGGGTGTGGCACCCTGGCTGATCTCCATGGAGCAGCCAGCCGCGGGGAGGGCAGGTGTCCTGTGCCTGCTCACTGACTGCCTCATTGAACTTCAGTGTGTCTTAATATACTTTAGGTAGAGACTGAAAGGTAGTGAACTTGCCCAAAAGTTATGGAGGTGAACAGAGACAAATACAAACTGCCTTGTTGTCAAACTGAAGCCAGCAACCCCGTGCGGGAGCCCTGAGTGAGCTTTCTTTTGGGAGCGAGCAAAGATTAAAATGAAAACCCCAGGCAAGCTGTCCAAACTGAAGGGTCTTTCAGGCTGAATGCTCTGTTTCCTGGCTCTTTTTCTTAGACAAACATAACTGAAGTCCCCACTTTGCTCCCCAAACTTTTCTTTCAGGATAAAGTAGAATAAAGCATAAGCAAGGCTCAGTGTTATTTATACACACTGAACGGCTTATCACAATGCAAGTACTTTCCTCAATTATTCATACCCGGAATGCTGAGAAACAAAGACACAGTGCATCTTTGTTCTTTGCTCTTCCCCAAACAAAACTGGTGCTGAAGTAGCTACTTGACTTTGTGACTAATACATACACTAGTGAGAGGCCTGGTGTTTCAACTTGTTATATAATACTTCATTAAATTTTTTTTTTTTTTTTTAAGTAGAGGGGTGAAGGTGGGAGAGGAGAGAACACAGAGGAATAAGGAAGGCGGCTTTGCAAACCTTTCTCTGAAGTGTGTGAAAGATGAACTAAGCTGGTGCCTGCTTTCGGCAATGACTTGTTAGGAGCATAAAGGTATTTGTCCCTGGAGAGAAAGAAGGAAGTCTGGCTATGAGCTTCCCTCTGTTTTGGATCTAACAGGTCCTTTGCCCCGTAGGGCCATATTCTGCCTGTCTTACTATTTTTTTAAAACATAAACAGTAAGTACTAATATATGGGAGACACTGTTAAACACTTGTACGTTAATTACTATTATTTCATTTAATCTTCACAATGATCTTGAGAGGAAGGCATCAACCTATTTTTTTACAGATAAGAAGCTGAGCCCCAGACAACTGTTCTACAACTTGACTGTGAGTTGAAGTGCTGGAAAGTAAATATACATTTGTATTTAAGTCTCAGCTCAAAAGTCCGAATTATTAGACCCCGTAACACAGACCTGATGGGAGGAAACCCAAAGAATGACGTGTCAAGAAAGAGGGGAAGTTCCAGTGTGGGAGCTGGGTGCTCTGGTTCAAGGACATCTACATCACCTCAAGGAGCAGCTCAGGTCCTCCCTTCACCAAGCCATCCCCACCAACTAAAGAAAAAAGGAGATACTGGATTTTCCTTGATTTAAAAAAATACTATTTCTGGGACGCCTGGGTGGCTCAGTTGGTCTAGCATCTGCCTTTGGCTCAGGTCATGATCTCAGGGTCCTGGGATCGAGCCCCACATCAGGCTTCCTGCTCAGTGGGGAGCCTGCTTCTCCCTCTGCTTCTCCCCCCGCTCATGCTTTCTCGCTCACTCTCTCAAATAAATAAAATCTTTAAAAAAGAATAAAATATTATTTCTAATGTACCAGGGGAGGTGGGCTGTTGCAATAAAAACAAACAGTCATTGGAACATATCTTCCTGTACAGTGACTGATTTGAAAACTGTTACTTCTTCATCCCCATCCTGATGCAAACCTGCTGGAGTATTTCACTATGGATTTAAATGAACACCATTTAAATTAGACCTGTAAGGCCATCTTATTCTGAAATGGTAGGAGTTTCTCAATAAAACAAAGTCAGTCCAGGAGAAACAGTAACTGGCTTCTTAATTACTGTTTTATAATAAGTTCCCTATTTTGGCAAGGAAACAGAAAAAATAAAATTAAGTAAGAAAGGATTTTCTAATTGCAAAGAGAGTTGATCCACCAGGAGATAAGCCACCCAACACCACCAGCCTTGTGCGGTGGGGGAACACAAAGACCACTTCTCAAGTGAAGGCCACAAACGACAGGCAAGGCCTGTGCATACTAGCCTTCCTTCTCCGACCAGAAAGCAGGAAAGATCTGAAGGGGCACGCCTATGAGAATTCTATAGACCGTGTTTCTAGAATTAAGTAGGAATTCTTAAGCTTTAAATACCATACATACCACTGGTCATGTGAGATACTTTTGCAAGTTTCTTCATCACATTGTCTAGCCGAGACTGAGTGCTCTCCAACTCATGAGAAAAATCATCCAACATACTAGAAAGAGAAGCAGACACAGAAGGGTAGCTGGTCAGCACAAAGACTTGGCAATACGTTGGCCATGGAATTAAAACAGGATCTACACCTCCATTTTAGCAAACCTAAAACCGGTAATTTTGCGATTCAAGTTCCCAATCTATTATCCAAAATCCTTAGCACAAGATATGTTTTTGATTTCAGAATTTTGGGGAATTTTAAAAAAGTACTAAGTTACATGTGCTATATATTAGCCAACACCCTCAAGCAGGGTCCAGGGCAGACCTCATAATCAAACATGGTAGTATTTCTGCAGAGAAAACTATGAGGAATCACTGCTGCAGTCAATTCAGGTCAGGTTTTTTGTAGTAGGAACTTGCTGAAAACTTTTTTTTAAAAGATTATTTTAGCACTTTCTAGACTTTAGAATTGTAGACCAGGCAGCGTGGACCTGACTATATAGTAACACAAGCTCAGGGGCAGTGCAGCACACGTGGAGGAGGCTAAGCAAAGCCCGACAACCAGGCTCTGCCACTTGCTTCCCTTGTTACCTTGACAAGGCACCCCACTTTGGCACTGTTTCCACGTCTGTAAAATGGGGTAGCTTCCCTGCCAGGGTCTTGTGAGCACCAGGTCATAACACAAAGCGCTTTAGGGCCAATAGGAGTTAAACACGCTTAATTGCATGATCATCTCCTTTAACGCGCTCTGTGCTTTGTCATAGAGCTGGGAGGCCGTGGGACTGACACTCCTGACCGTGTGCACTCCTGGTCTACACGTGTACCACACAGAAGTCAGTGTTTGCCCGCTAAGAGAAGCGGCTCCAGGAAGCGAATAGTATTTGCTGTCCACAGGGCAGCTGGGAAAGAAAACACCAAAATGCTCTTATTCCAGCAGTGTTTATTTCATAAATGACTAAACATTCCAGACTTTTCAACTTGGGATTAACATATGATTATCCCAAAGAGTGGTACCTAACATACAGCATCAATGGAAGCTAGAAATGACTGGGCTTGGTCTGTGCCCCTGTGAGGCACGTGACTGCGTGCAGGACTCGGGGCAACCAACTCCTCATTAAGTCAATTATTAAATAAACTCCATGTTGACAACTAAATAAACAGATCTTTGTCCCTTACCTGAAATTCCAAATTAACACACTATTAGCTCATCTAAGATCCTGGTAGCATCTTGGCCTGCAGCTGCAGACCTATCCAGGCAGGGCCAAATACTGAAAAACAAGAGCCACCTTTGTATGCTGGGCATGACTTTTCCTACTGAGGACAAAAAGGCCAGTCACTCAACCTCCAGCCCAAGGACACCCACTAAACTAGGTTTCTAGCCCAGATCTAGCTGATTCGGCACTGTCCAAAAGAAACAGACTGCGAGTCCAATATGCTACTTAATATTTGCTAGTAGCCACATTTAAAGCAAGAAGATGAAATTAATTTTAATAATCTGTTTTATTTGGCCTAATATATTCCAAATATTATCATTCCAACATGTAACTAGTATTAAAAAAAAAAAATCACTCACAAGCTACTTTACATTTTTTTTTCATAGGAAGTCTTCAAAATCTGGTGTGCATATATACTGAGGGCGCATCTCCGTTCAGACGCCACATTTTATGTATTCACTGGCCACAGCTGCCAGTGGCCACCGATGCTGGAAAACACAGGCCGAAGTCCAAGACCCAGGGGCTTTCCTTTTAATTTACTTATTATTTTTACCAAAGTGAGACACAGTTTAAAGAGCTAAATAGCACGTTCAGGCTCTTTATAAAAAACCACGGCTGTTTCCTGTCCCCTTGGACAAGTGCTGCCACCCCCTCCCACTAGTTCCTGGGTGCTTTCTGTGTGTGTTCAAGGAGCATGCTCACACCAGAATCCTGTCGTACTGACTCCACTCTAAAAAGTCTAGGGCTTAGCTCTGCTCCCACCTCCCTCCCCATCCCGGCATCCAGCCCACTACTCATCCCCCTTCCTTCCAGTATGACTGTGTCACAACGTGATGAGCACGCCCTTCAGGGCTCACACTATCACGAGTGATTGCTCTCCTGGGCTGGTGGCTCGCGGTGGGAACTGGGTTTGCTCCGTGGCGCCCCCCTGAGGCTGGCAGAGGATTCAGCTTTCTCTGGTCTGTTGAGTCAGTAGCCATTCATTTTCCTACTTTCCAGGACCTATAATGTTATGGTTACTGTTTGTTATTTCATGTTCTATGTCCCCATAGGTCTTATGCCAGTTTTATAAAAAGATCCCTCTGCTGGTGCCCTAGTGGGCTCTAGGGAAGGAGCGACATAAAGGGTATGTTCGGTGTGTTCAGGTCACCATCTTTAACTGAAGTCTGCCAGGCTTCTCTATCATCTACTGAACCCCAGGGAGTCAGGCAATTAGTCCTTTTCCAACCGCAAATTGAAATTTTAGGGGAAGAATGCATTTTAGACAGAAATTCAACACGCATGCCTAGATTTTCCTGCTCTTCCAGCTTCCCCCTGGTCTCCTTGCCTTCAATCTGACTCCATTATTGCTTGTCACCTAAACCACAGCTAGATGGGTCTGCCCCAAATGTAAACCTGTCCATGGTATTACTCCCCACACAACCTTCGTGGTTTCCCATGACCCTCAGGAGAGAAAGTCCTAGCCCCTTAATGGGGCGTCAAAGGCCTCCCCACTCTGTTCTTGGCCTCCGTCTTGCCCTCTGCAACCCCCTACCCCCATGCTCTACACAAACGAGACCTTTCTGTCCCATGCACACTCTCACACTCTAAAACCCCAGTCGACCCTCCCCTCACCCCCACCCCTCCGCTGGGCCACCTTCCCCTCATCCCTCAGGTTCCAGTTCCACACATCTTCTCAGGGACCTGGGCGAAGTCAGGTCTGCAGCTTGAGTGGAGTGAGGGCTCTCAAGGCAGCACACTCTTCCCCCTTACGTCTCTGCACTTCTTGGTGACTTGCATGTACAACGTCTGTTCTAGGCAGTAACTGGTAAACTCTCTGATGGCAGAGATGCAGTCTGTTCGCTCCTCTATGGGTACCCGGGACCTCCCAGCAGAACAGATACCCAGTTTGAATTTCTGAAGAATGAATGTATAAGGCTGAACTCAAGACTGAGATAGGAGAGGTTCTGAAATATCCTAGTGGATAGTCTTATTTTTTCAGAAAGAAATTTGTGAAATGAAAGCATTTAAGAATGATGCTTTTGGTGTCCTACTTCTGAGCACAAAAGGAGACTACTGAAGGAAAAAATAAATACACCCAGTTATGTTTTCGTTTGCTTTGTTTTTACTTTGTATTTTTGAGAGGGAAGATTTTTGATTAATTGAAGTCAAATTTATAAACTTTCTTCATTAAGTTAAAGTTTAAGATGCAGAGCAAGAAGTTCTGTTCGATGGAGCAGGAGAGTCAGGGGATGACAGAGGGAAGTCAGCTCCTGTCCTACCCTCTCCGGGACCCAGATCTCCAAGGAGGTTACACAGCCCTAGCTGTCTCATGTCCCATTCGTCACAACACTCTTGAGGATCGGCTCAGAGGAATCTCTATCTGTTTTTGGAGGGCGCAAAAATAATCAAGATAATAACTCTGCCCAAACCCCGTTGAAAATTTTATCTGATCAATGTGCTTCTTTGGGGGAGCAGAATAAAGATGCAGCTACACAAGTAAAACGGCTTTTGGGTTTACTAGCCATGTAACTGTCAGGCTTTTCAGGGGTCTCATAAGATGGCTTTGCCCCTCAATTTCACTGTAGCAAGAGGGGCGTGTCAGTACTCACACCGCCTGTTCCTCTAGCTCCCCTCCGATGCGCTGGGACATGTTCTTCAGCACCCCGATGCTGCCAGAGACCAGCTCCAACTGCTCATCCTGCTGTTCCACGATCAACTGGTGCCAGAGAAATGGGAAATAAGCAATTAAACTCCATCTTACCTGGTTCCAAGCCCAGTACTCTAGCAGCTGCTAGCTTCTTTGCCAACTTGGGACCATTCTCATTCAGAAGCAAAGCCCAGAAATCGAAGGACCAGACCATTGCCTCTGAGAACACGCTGCTCAAAAGGCTGGGTTGACAAGCTACTGATACTTCCTGCCGATCCAACTTGTGAACAGTCAGCAGGCCTGGAAACCACCAAGAGCGATTTACTCTGGTTGGCTCAAGTCCGACGAGGGAATAAGCCAGGGTCAAAAGCACCTGTGTGGTGACCACTGAGACATGGGATGTTGGGGAAGAGGAAGCCCACTGCCAGGGTCAAGGTCTCAATCCACAACAGACTGCCTCAGCCTGACTCCAAGAGAGAGGCCGACAAATATGTGAATGTGGGAAAATTGCATACAGAGTCCCTTCCTTCCTCTTCAAGGACAAACTAGAGGAGGCCCTGTGGCTATAAGCTGCTTCAAGGACAACTACTGAGTGATAAATAATTAGTTTTAATTGTGGTGTAGCCTCCTCATTTTTTATTAAGAAAAAAAGGTTTGCTTGATTAATAACAATTTAAGTAGACAACTGGTTAAACAGACACGCTATGAAAAAGAACAAACCTACGTGTATACATAAAACATAATATTTAAGAACCAATAGTTTCAATGGATAGATAATCCTCAAATCCCCAGATACATCATTAACTTCCTTTTTAAAATACAACACATATCAAAAGCCACGATGTAATCATAATCAACCTCACTTTCCTTCTACCCTAGAACCTCCACCAAAGCAATCATTTTTACATATAATGGAACCAGCAATAATTTGCAATGAAGAAACAAGGACTCAGTTTTTCTGAAAGTGCCTTTGTTGAAATGAACAAAAAACTGAGCATACAAGTGGAGGCGGGGGAAGAGGTTGCTGGGTTTTTTTTTTGTTTTTTTTTTTTTTGTAAATCAATGGCCTTGTCTGTCAGTTTTGGATGTGTGGTCTGCTTTTCCTAAGAGATCTAATCAAGCTTGGTTCTCCCGAAAAGGTCGTGCTCTGAAGGAGGTTTTAAAAACCCTTCATCTACACAATGGTTGCACACACAGACAGGCAGCCGCGGGGCGAGCTCTGGTCCCCCAGGGGCTGTCACTGGTCACAGCACCCCCTGGCGGCAGGGGAACGTAGGGAGGTGCCCCACCTCCCTCCCTCGGCCGCTTCTTGGGTACCTGCTGCTGAGCCTGCTGCTCCTCGATGAAATGGGAGTTGGCCAGCTGGAGCTCGCGGTCCAGGCGCCCGGATGTGTCCATCTTTCCTGCGCTCCAGTTCTGGCCACCACTGTCCCCTAGGAGTGCCTGTGAGAGGGGGGTGGGGGGAACCAGCCGTTACCATCTGAACAAATGCTCCAGCACAGGGACAGAAAGAGTCCACAGACTGCTCACAGTGCATTTCCCGCCAGCTCAGCCTTTTGCGTAGTGGTGTAGGTTGGTGCCTGTGTGGCATGATTTCAGGAATGCCAGGAAGGGCGCCCACTGCCTCCAAGCTCTCGCAACGGGACTCAGAAATGGGCTCTGTCCCATTAAAATACAGATAAAGGTCAACTTTAAATCAACAAACGCCCATCTGTACACTGCTTTACAATCTAGAAGCACTTGGTCTTCAGGCCAGCTGTTCCTAGCACCCTCGGAAGTTCATCAGAGACTCACAGACTCCAATCTGATTCCACAGACCTAGAGTCCCTTTTTATTCACGTATGAGCCAGGAAAGTTTCTGGGTTTCTTCGGAAGGAGGCAGGGAGAGCTCCCTGGAATGACAACAAGCCAAGTCACAGCCCCTCATGTACAGAAGGCACGAGACTCACCAAAGTCTGTTCAATTGAACCCATGAGTAAATCCCAGTACCCTTCAGTTGAACTAAAAGGCTACCGGCGTCCCAAATAGGAACCGGGGGTTGCTTCAGAGGCAGGTATGGTCACAAGTGAGCGCCTGACCCTCATAACCCAGGCAACTGCTGGTCCCGAAGTCAGAGCTCTTCCCCAGGGTCAGGTTTCCCAATATGAATTCAAGGAAGTTTGCAGCCAGAACAGGATAAGTCTGGAAAAAGGATAAGTCTCCCTTCCGTGAAGAGGCCAGCCAGGAATGTGAGAGCTCATTCTCGGTAGCAGGCTCTGACCAGGAGCCCCACGAGCCCATCTGACTAGTTGGTCAGAGTTAGCGCTCACACCAGTCCTGCACAAGGAACCAGAAGATGCTGCTAAGATTCTTCTTCCTTGTGGAGGTGCCAGATCTTACTAGGTACTTTTTATCTCCGGAATTGTTAAAAGCCTCACGGGTTACGTGGTTTTCTGTCTGCAAAGCCCTTCAATAGCCCCTTGATACTGACATGGACCTCCTGGCCTGACGTTCGAAGGTGACTTCAGTCGAATGGCCACACTTCAGGGACGGGGCTCAGAGAAGCTCAGGACGCAGAGCCTAAGTTCTTGAGGGAGTTAGGAGAGCTGCCAGCAGCCCAGGGCCTCAGTCCAGCCAAGAAGCCGGATGGGGACTGTCTCCGGCATAAAGCAAACCCAAGGCCTTCTGTAGATGGCTCTGCCCAACCTGATCCTAGGGCTGGCAAGTTTAGAAGATCCTGCTCATTCCGAGGCAGAGACTCTAAGAATCTCTGTGGAGGACACTGAGGCCTAGTGACAATGTTTTCAAGGTCAGAAAGAGTCTATACAGAGTGCATCATTAGGCTACCGGCAGAGAACTGGGGGCTCCCCCAGCCTCGTGCACTCCTGGGATCATAGTCGGGGCTGTTTTTTTTTTTTTAGTCTCTTCATGGTCTGCACTTAGGTGGACATATGTCACGCCGTTAAGAGTTGTCTATGCTTTATTGTGAAGCAGATTAGATGTCATTAGTCTGACTTCTAGGAATCTATCTTCACGGGAACGAAGATGGAGAGGGCCCAGAGCACTGGAAGAGCAGCCTGGGCGCAGGTGCTGGAGCGGGGAGGTCCTGGCTGAGCAGGCTGGAGCACAGCACCTGGTCCTGGCATGAAGCAGTGAGGCAGACTGGGCCTGCTCGAATATGAGCGAAAACTGGTCCTGCCGTTCCCTGAGAATTTGTGACTCTAGGACATCTCACTCCACGCCAAAAACAAAGTCCCAAGCCATACTCGGAGAGGCAATGTGTAAGTATACGTTTTATTTATGGTAGTTCAACTTTTACTCTAGAGAATAAAGCAATTCAAGTTTGGCAGAACAGAGGCCCAGTGTTCCCCATCTCCCTGTCACAACTGCTTCGGGTTCCGTTCCTCAACTTCTGTAAGTTCAAGTGTAGACAAAAAGGGAACTCTCAAACTGTGAGCCTTTGGCCATGCCCTAGAGCTCCTTTCAAGAGTTAGTGCCAGATGGGCTGGGTTAGCGCCTGGCAGTTCCCCACTGCACTATTAAGAGGAAGGGAGGGAGACAGGAAGAAAAAGCCACAACAGTGACTTGAAGAATGAAATGCAGGGAAAGGCAACAGGAAAATTAGGCAGGTGATATCTGGAGAGCCCCTCCCTTTCTTTGAACTCTTAACTTGTTTTCAAATGTCATGGGTCAACAAATACCCACAGGTCTAAAGTAAGAATGTAACCGATTCCTAGTTAATAATGATGAACTGTTTCTTACCAGTCTACTAAACGGACTATCAGTAACTTGATGGAGTCTGAATAGAATTGAAGTTAAATCTAAATTTTAGGCGACGGTTGTATATTTCTTAAAAGGATTTTATCAGTCAGAAGGGAATTTCTATCAAATGTGTCTAATTTTAAAAAGTGTCTAATTTTAAAAAGATACTTAAGTCTGGGTAGCTCACTCCATTGAGCACCTGACTCTTGGTTTCGGCTCAGGTCATGATCTCGGGTTGTGAGATGGAGCCCTGCTCAGCAGGGAGTCTGCTTGAGATTCTCTCCCTCTACCCCTCCCCCTACTTGCACATACATGTGCTCGCTCGCTCTCTCTCCAGTAAATAAATCAATCTTTGGGGAAAAAAAAAAAGATACGGGGCGCCTGGGTGGCTCAGTTGGTTAAGCCGCTGCCTTCGGCTCAGGTCATGATCTCAGGGTCCTGGGACTGAGCCCCATGTCAGGCTCCCTACTCAGCCGGGAATCTGCTTCTCCCTTTCCCTCTGCCCCTCCCCCCTGCTCATGCTCTCTCTCTTAAATAAATAACATCTTTTAAAAAAAATTAAAAAATTTTAAAAAAGATACTTAAATTCAAGGACTGGTCTCCTGTAGGTTTTATTTTTGATATGTCATTATCTGTACTGGGGTTTTTGAAATCAGGTTTCAAAATTTATCTGTAATAACTAATAAAAACTGGACCTCATATCAAAACAATACTTAAAACAATGAAAGATTTAATTTAACACATTTAAGGTTCCTCCAATGTCTTTACATAAAATTTCACTCGTTAGATGTCTAGTAAGTTCTATGGGCAATAGAATAGCAGCTAGATATTTAAAAACAGCTCATGACATAATTGCTCTTCACTTTCAAGGAGCTTGGTTGGGGTCCAGCAGAGAAAGCAGAGAAAAAGACAGGAGACAAAGCAACCACAGCACTTCCCAGAGCACGTGGGCAGCACAGGCAGAGTGAATGGCTGTGTGTAAGGCCTACGGGGATAAGCAGAGGGAGCTACAGGGGCCCAGAGGAGAGAAGCAGAGGGTGTGAGGGAGGGAGGGACAGAGGACCGTGGCACTGGGGCAAGCTAACCTTTCACAACACCTGCCAACCTCATGCCAGGCTCAGCACGTACAAGTCTTCTGTGTGAACACACGATACACCCACGTCAGCAGTTTTTAATTCCAAATATCTAACCATGCTATTTTCTTTGATTGATACTGTGTGTTCAGATGTTTACTCACCTGTCTGTTTTTTCGTTCCGCTAATGCCTGCACAGATGAAGCTGACATCTGATCCTTCATGTCCTAATGAGATGAGCAGAAGACCAGAAAATGAATGAAAACAAAATCACGGCTAACATTTTACAGGCTAACAAAATACACACAGATTATTATGAATTTTTTTATTATGAATTTTTTTAAACAAAAAGACAGCATTCTTTAGCTTGTAAGTCTCAAAAACAAAGGAAATAAAATAGACTCACATTCCCTTAAAAGAGAGTAATCTGGACACTGAATTCAAACAGGAAGAAAGAGGAAGGGAACTCGTATTTCCTGGGTACCTACCAGAGACCGCAACACCGTGGTACACTTACACAAGGTATCACGGAATTTTCACAACGACCCTGTGAAGCCGCTATTATTTCCATTTTGCAGGTAAGAAGACTGAGATCTAAAAAGGCTAAGATACTTTCTTAAAGTCACACAGTCAGTAAATGGCAATCCCGGGGCACAAACACAGAAGTCTGTGCTCAAGGGCTAGCATCTTCAAACAGAATGCATGTGAAAAACCACACACTTTAGGATCAAGTCTGTTTACCATTAAACACCAGAACACTTTCTAGTATTCTTATTTTATTTCTGAGTTGGATTCATGTGTAGAATAGACTCCCCTCCCTCCTTCCCTTCCTTCCTTCCTCCCATAATCTCTACACCCAAGGTGGAGCTCAAACTCACAACCCCAAGATCAAAAGTCACATGCTCTACTGACTGAGCCAGCCAGGCGCCCCCCAGTATAGACTATTTCTAACACAAGAGTGAATTTCTAGCACAGTATCAAAAATAATTTTGTATGGAAAGAAAAATGAATGGACCCATTACTTAACCCGAAGCAAAACACTATTAAATATGAACCCTTTCCCTTATATTTAACCACAACCCAATATACTTTAAAATGATTTGAACTGAATACATGATTACTGTAATACAAATTTTCTTTGGAAAAAAAAAAGGCTGCCACAATACGTTATAATTTTCTGTTGGCAAGTAGGCTATTTTATAGATGCAAATGTTGAGGTATTAGGCTCCTAGAAACTTCTTCCAAGAGCCGTGACAGGTGAACAGCAGATCGGACAGTGCCACAGTTTTTGTCATTCCTACTGTGGTGTGTCTTAATAATAACCACCTTGCTCCAACTTTCCAAGTGCCCATTTTACGTTTGGCAAATGCTCCCTAAAGCCTAATACATGCCCACATAGAGCAGTGAGCAATACAGGCAAGGCCCCTGCCTGAGTGGAAAGGGTACTATGGTGAGGAAGGGGCAAACAGTAATCCCACAGACAGGTCAATGAGCTGATGACTGCGTTGGGAAGGAAGGGAATAAAGGGCTGGGATTGAGTGGGTGAAGGACACCACTTTAGAAGGATGGGGGTAACACGGGAATCAAGATCGGAAGGGCAAGAATGAGCCAACCACAGAAAGAGTTAGAGGCTGAGAATTCCAGTCAAAGGGAACAGCAAGTACAAAAGCCTGGAGGCAAGAAAAAGCTCGGCGCCTTCAGCTATGGAGAAGGCAGGCCAGGGAGGGTGGAGGAGCCAACTGTGTGTTCAGGGGTGGGGGGAAAGGAGAGGAGGCTGGCCGAACACATGGGGCTTAGATTTTATCCTGAGGCAGGGGTTGGCAAACTCCTTATCTGTTTGATAAGGAGTAGATATTAAGGATTCAGTCCCTGTCATATACTCTTTGTTGTGTGTGTGTTTTCTAATTATCCTTTAAAAAAAATGTAAAACTGTTCTTATATAGCTTGCAGTCCCCTGTGCAAAGGCAATGGGAAGGCCTTAAGGTATTTTAAGCAGGGCCATGGAGTATTCTGGTTCATGTTTTAGAAGCTCACTTTAGTTTTTCTGTAGAAAAAAATGTTAAGCAGAGCAAAAGTAAAGGGATCATTTTACTATAACCTGTCACAAAGTACCAGTGCTGCCCCAGATAAGAAATGGCGCATCTAGAAGGAGCAAGCTCCCTGCTGTTGGGGGCCGCCTTCAACAAGAGGCTACGTGAGCCCTTGGAAATGACACTGGGTAGGCGGCGCATCTGAGGGGTGCTCCGCCTAGGGTCCAGCTGACCCAGAAATTCTAGGATTCTCTACCTATTTCATCCATTCGCAAACCTCAAAGACAAAAAAAAAAAAAAAGGCCACTCATAAAAAATGAGAAAAATATACTTAGTAAAAGAAAGTATTTGCCACAAAATACAAAGGGAATTCAGTGATATAAGTCATATTTCTTAGATGTGTGAGATTTGCTTGAGTCAGTCACCTGAGGTGAAATGCAGGTCCCTTGGGCACCTGGTGGCTCTGGTGGTTAAGTGTGTGACTCTTGGTTTCAGCTCAGGTCATGATTCCAGGGTCGTGAGACTGAGCCCCCGAGGGCTCCATGCTCAGGGTGGAAGCCGCTCGAGATTCTCTCGTTCCCTCTCCCTCTGCCCCGCCCCCGCCTGCATCTGCACTCTCTCTCAAAATAAATAAAATCTTAAAAAAAAAAAAAAATGCAGGTCCCTGGACCCCACCCAGACCTACTCAGGCAGACTCTAAGGTACAGCTAACAAGTCCCTGGGTGAGTTTTATGAATACTGAAGTCTGAGCTGCTCTTTTTTAGATTCTAGAAGCCTTAAAGTGAGCCTGTCACCTAATAAATATCTCCTGGACTGTGGGCTCCCAATTACCACTGAGAGTTAAAGATGACATTTGGATATTCAATCAAACAATAATAATAGTGCAATCCTATATATATTATTAACTATGCAGAGCAAATATCTGAAATGTTCATTGGTATGGATAATATATGCTTTAAAAATGCATTTAATACATTTTATAATAGTCTTTTTTCAAAACAATAAACATTACTTGCATAATAACAATACCAACACACGGGTATGGCAAAAGTAACTGAAGTTCAATTAAACTTTGAACTTCAGCTATAGAATGTGCTTTTGCTGTTAGAAGTCAGGACAATGAGCAGGGAATTAAAGACTGTAAAGGGACACAAGGAAGCTTCTAGAGGGTGCCGGGAATGCTCTGGAATGCTTCTGGGTGCTGTTTCCATGGTTGTGATCAGTTTATAAACTCTTCATGCTGTATACTTGGGATACATGTACTTTTCTCTATTGTTATACTTCAATAAAAATGTAAAAAAAAAACACAAAACCCTACTGTTCTGGAACAATGGCTGGAAGGTAAACTGGACTCTAAATAAACCTGACATTTTGTATCAAGAGCTGTGATATTTGTATCAAATATTCACAGCCTTGACCTAGCAATTCCACTAAAAGGATTTATTTTAAGAAAACAATATAAAAGTGGTGCTCGGCTGGCTGAGTTGGTAGAGCATGCAACTCTTGATCTCAGGGTTGTGAGTTAGAGCCCCACGCTGGGTGTGGAGATTACTTAAAAATAAAATCTTAAAAAAAAAAAAGTAAAATATATACCCCCCCAAAAAAAGCAAAGATGTACACTGCAGTGTTATTTATAATATGAAAGAAAAACAGAAATAAGCAGCACGTCCAAACCAGAGAACAGTAACTTAAGAGTAAATCCAGAATAATATGTCATTTCTTTTAAATATGTCTATTTCAGGGTCATAAAAGGACTAGAGATAATATGTAAAATTGTTAATAGTGATTTCTAGGGAGTGGAATTACAGAATGGGCGGGAGGCATTTTCACCTTTCTCATACAGCAAAATTATTTGCATTTTAAAAAGAGCAAGTATGGATTACCTTTAATTTAAAAAAAATAAAAAATGCTTATGATTGCTTAACAGTATGATCACAACTATGTAAAAATACAACTGTCATGCATTAACAAAATGACTGAGAAAATGTAACAGTTTGGTGTTTATTATTTTTTTTAATTTTTATTGTTATGTTAATCACCATACATCACATCATTAGTTTTTGATGTAGTGTTCCATGATTCATTGTTTGTGCATAACACCCAGTGCTCCACGCAGAATGTGTCCTCTTTAATACCCTTCACCGGGCTAACCCATCCCCCCACCCCCCTCCCCTCTAGAACCCTCAGTTTGTTTTTCAGAGTCCATTGTCTCTCATGGTTCGTCTCCCCCTCCGACTTACTCCCCTTCATTCTTCCCCTCCTGCTATCTTCTTCTTTTTCTTTTTTCTTAACATATGTTGCATTATTTGGGTGTTTATTATTTTGAGCTTAGGTTTCTTTTCCTAGCTTTTCCTCTTATTAACATTTTTCTAATTTTCTTTAATAAACATGCATTACTTTAATGAAATAGATATTTTAAAAGTTCCAGTTTTTAAAGTTTCTGCTTAATAAAATATATGTGTGGGGGGGAGAGGCGGTGCCCTGATGGCCATGACTTCCCCAACAGCTGTGTGCTGTGCATCCTGTGTGTGGTGTGCGTCCTGTGTGTGGCCATGGCAGCAGGTAAAGCACGAGGCTTTCACTTCCAGGATGGCATTTTTTTCTACGGACGTTAAAAGCTGTAAGATACCATGCAACAGACTACCTTATTAGGATCTGGAATTTTAAGCTAAGTCACTACACAGTTTTAAGCATTCTGCATTAACCCATCAGGCCAAAAACATAATCAATCATCTTTCCAACACATGAAGTTTAGAACCAGCAGTCAAGAAGCAGTACCAATACGATTTGGTTCGTCTGCCAAAAGAGCAATAAATGTCCTGGTTATTTACGCTCCTGTTCCCATTTCATGGTGTCCTCCAAACTGAGTGAATGGGACACTATACATACCCCAGTACTTCCCACTAAGAGGTCTCACACCCTATATACCTCATCCTTTTCGGTTAACCATGTCTGTCTTGACTTAGAATGAAATGTGAATAATTCTTGGGTTGGAACAAGTTGGGTTCCCCCCACCCCACCACAGGGATGTATAGTTCTCATTCCTTTAAAAGTTAAAGTTAGAAAATGTCTGTGAGGACCATTTAACTGATAAAGAAAACACAGAGTGAAAGAAGCTAATTGACCTGCCATGATGAAAATTTACTAAGGGGGCACCTGGGTGGCTCAGTCGTTAAGCGGCTGCCTTCGGCTTAGGTCATGATCCCAGGATCCTGGGATCGAGCCCCGCATCAGGCTCCCTGCTCTGCGGGAAGCCTGCTTCTCCCTCTCCTACTCCCTCTGCTTGTGTTCCTGCTCTCGCTGTGTCTCTCTCTGTCAAGTAAATTAATAAAATCTTTAAAAAAAAAAAGAAAATTTTTACTTTATTTTATTAAGGTCACAGATGAGCCTAGAACTCAGGTCTCCTAAGAGCTCACCCCCTGTATTCCTCTGCCACACACTACAAAACCTTTTGCTACGAAATTAAAATGAGGTCACTCCTGGAACATATTTCCACAACAGAAAAATTCCACATGCAAAATCGCTGTTGTGTAGATAACTCCATAAATGTAAAAATGATTACTTCAAAATTATCAAAGGCTATTTACACACACAAAAGAATATTTTGCTTTCTTCCAGCAAAACTTACTAAACTGTACAACCTTAAAAGACACTTGGGAAAACAAGACTCTTAAAACAAGGAAGGGTTCTAAAAGCAAAACCAATGGACAATAATTGAAAAGAAAAACAAGAGAAAGATGTAATTCTTCAGAGACAGCAACCACAGACACACAAATGCACAATGTATCACTGACTCTCCTGCCTATGAAGGAGAAAGGACCCCTGGTATCAGCTGTGGATCCAAATGTATTCTGTTTAGAGCAACTAAATGAAAACCTATTGATAATGGTTAACAGAGGAGTTTACATGAGCTTGTGAAAGACAAATCCCAAATCGGAGTGTGGTCTTAGGTCTCATTTCCCAAACTGGCTAACTCTCTGATCCTACTCTATCTCCTCCAACTAGAACCCAGAGATCTCTGTATACAAATGCTGCCTAACTAAATGCAATAATAGTCAATCACCACACGGTGCTTTAAAAAAAAAAATCAAGTTGGCATCATTACTACCTCCTTCTCTTCTTACAGAACTTCAATTAGAATTTATCAAAATGAGATCAGCAAAAGCTCAGTTACGTACTGTTAACCTACAACTAGCAAACAATAACAGCTTCCCAAAAAGGGGTCATAATTAAAACAAGAATGATTAAAAACTCTACAATACTCAGTTGGATTATACAATTGAGTATGCTTTAGACTTCAATTCTAGAAGGACTGCAACACTATATATGAAATATGGACTTGATTTAGAATACTTCTTTTAGGTGCGCCTGGGTGGCTCAGTCAGTTAAGCATCTGCGTTGGGCTCAGGTCATGATCCCACAGTCCCAAGATCGAGCCCTGCATCGGGCTCCCCCACTCAGTGGGGAGTCTGCTTCTCCTTCTGACCTTCCTCTTGTGCTCTCTCTCAAATAAATAAAATCTTAAAAAAAAAAAATAACTTGTTTCAAAGAATGTACTTTAAAAACCTCTTCAAGTATTAGAAAATGATCTTTGGTTTCTACTTGCAATTATACCAACTAACTTAACTTTCAATATACTTACCTCTGAATTTCAATTTGCAAAATTTACAAGTACTATCTTGCAAAAAGAAGAAACACAATGATTGAGTTCAGGAATTTATGCTTCACTGCCAGGCGCTATTTAAATACCAGCCTCTACAGCAGTGTCTTTCAGAAAATCTATTACAAAAAATAAAAAAGCAAACTATATTTATAAAATAAGTAATTGGGGACTTACCTTCTCGGAATAAGGGGCTTTCTTGTCAGAATAACATTCTGAACTGGCTAGAAATTAGGAGTGTCTAATACAAATGCTCAGTGTATATAGATGGTGTACCTAGGTCCCAAAATGTTACTGGCCCATTAAAGTATGGGCTTATTTAACAATAATTTATACACACACACACACACACACACACACACACACACACACACACACACAGAAAGGCAACTAATGAATAAAAGACGACACAAGAATTAAAGTTCAGTGATAACCTACCATTTGAAATAATTTCAAAAGGAAATCACATGACATAAAGTCTTTGGCAAACGCATACCAAGGTTCCTGCCTGAGATGACTCCTAAAAAGCCATATGTTAGCGCTGGTATGATCCCAAGTTTCTTTATTCAAGGAAGCTGCTTTCTAGTACATATGTTAAAGACAGCTGGTTCTCTTACATCTAGTTATGCTAATCAAATGGCTTAGCCATATAGTTTCAAAATACAAACATATCTCAAGGAGACAAGATTTGTCTTAAATGATATTTTCTCCTAGTTTTTTTTTTTTTTTTTTAACAATAAGTTATTAGTTATATCATTTGAGACTAGAGATTTGTTCACTTGGATTGGTGTTTTGCACTCTGATGGATGCTGCTCTGGACAGCTCCCGAAAGGCTGTCAAGCAGTTGTATATGGAAATGTCAGTAACATGGGTTGCAAAAGTTCCAGAAGCAATTCAGATGGTAGAAGAGGCCGCTATCCAAACCCGGTAAGAGTCACTCTTCACAATGCAAAGTGATTACCAATCAATCATGAAACCAAATGTTTTCTACAATACTAATTCTTCCTTTTGTCCAAAAATACAGTATACTGAGAAATAAAGAGGCAAAAAGATAACTGGTTTGGAGAAACAAAAGCTATGGACAAGGAACCTCCCCAAAGCCGGTCATCTACTCTCATTTTTGCTCTAAGAAGTAAGCTAGACAATATTACAAACAGATTTCTTTATTTGAATCAGAGAAATTAGGAAGAAAACTCGCATTTAATTCATACTAAAAAGTGGTTTCAGAGTTGACCTATTAGTTTACAATTAAGAAAAAGAGTTCTGAGAAGTGTGGCTATTTCTTGCAAAAATAACACAATAAGACCATATTCCTTACCCTGACAACTTGCCGAGTACTTGTGATGAAGGTTTTTCTTATACTCAATTCAGTTGCATCGAGGTTGAATTTTCTAGGGTTTGCTTCAACTATGCGTGGGTCAAAAAGTCAAGGGAAAGCAATTTCATCGTTAAAAACCTAACAAACATCATCACGTTAAACCACAAAATCTCTCACAGGTAAGCAATAAGATCTGGCTTGATGTTTCTTAAAACACTGTCAACTTGACACACATCATTCTCAAACTTTCTCTTCCTACAGCTATGAGGATCTCTGTGCCTCCAAGTGGAGAAGACCCACCAGGTTAAGAAACACAGCCCCTGCTGACTGGGTTCACTACAAATCCATGGCAGGCTGACCACGGCTGAGCTGGGCTCTTCCAGATGCCTGCCAGCACTCTTTGTTGACTCGTTTCTGACTTCAGATCATCTTTCCCATGACAGCTTTGCAAGCCTTTTTCATCTGCTATTCCAAACCGTTCCATTTATGCCAAGAAGCTAATCCTGCTTATTAATCTAGAGGTTGAGGCTTCTTCGAAGCTTCCCCTAATCTCCTTATTCCCAGCCTGGTCCTGCTGCCCCATGTCAGACACTCGCATGGCTCTCTGGTCTTTTCTCTTACAGTCTGCAAATACATAGTGTTATTTGATTAATGTCTGTTCCCCTGTCCCCTGAGCCCCTCACTACTCCCCACCATAAATTCCATGAGGGCTGGTATCCTGTTTTGCTTTATCAATCCAATCTCAGTAACTAACAAAATATCCAGCAGATTACTCAAAAATGTCACTCAAAGATTAATCACTATTAACAATTTTACATATTATCTCTAGCCCTTATATGACCCAGAAATAGACATATTTAAAAGAAATGACATATTATTCTGGATTTACTCTAAGTTACTGTTCTCTGGTTTGGACATGCTGCTTATTTCTGTTTTTCTTTCATATTATAAATAACACTGCAGTGTACATCTTTGCTTTTTTTGGGGGGTATATATTTTACTTTTTTTTTTAAGATTTTATTTTTAAGTAATGTCACTCAATGATTATTTGCCGAATGAATGATGAATACAAAGGCATACCTCATTTTATTGTGCTTTGTTTTACTGCACTTAGCAGACACTGTGTTTTACAAATTGAAGGCTTCTCACAACCCTGTGTCGAGCAAGTCTATGGGCACCATTTTTCCAATAGCATCTGCTCACTTCATGTCTCTGTCACATTTTGGTAAGTCTTAAAATATTTCAGGCTTTTTCATTATTATATTTGTTATGGTGATCCATGATTGTGACTCAACTGGAAGCTGAGATGATGACTAGACTTTTTTAGCAATAAAGTATTTTTTTAAAGATTTTATTTTTAAGTAATCTCTACCCCCAACGTGGGGTTTGAACTTACAACCCTGAGATCAAGAGTTAACATGCTCTACTGACTCAGCCAGCCAGGTGTCCCAGCAATAAAGTATTTTTAAATTAAGGTATATACATTGTTTTTAGACAAAATACTACTGCACACTTGGCACCTGAGTGGCTCAGATGGTTAAGCGTCTGCCTTCAGCTCAGGTCATGATCCCAGGGTCCTGGGATCGAGTCCCGCATCGGGCTCCCTGCTCCTTGGGAGCCTGCTTTTCCCTCTGCCTCTCTCTCTCTCTCATGAATAAATAAAATCTTTTAAAGAAAAATACTACTGCACACTTAACAGACTACCGTATAGTGTAGACATAACTTTTATATGCACCCGGAAACCCTAAAAATTCACTTGAGTCGCTTTACTGAGACCACGATACTCCCCTTACTGTGCTGGTCTGGAACCGAACCACAGTATCTCCAAGGCGTGCGTGTATCTGTTAACACCCGTCTTCTTTCTCTCACAATTTCTGTCTCCCCAATCTTCTTCTCTTCTCTCTATCTCAAGCTATCTCCCTGTACCTGTGTTTTGGATCCCATCTTCTCACACATTTTGTTCCACTAATTTTTAACAATATACTTTTTAAAATAATTTAAAAGGTACCCAGCGTCATATGGTGAATAGAAATATTATAAACAGATTATGACCTCCACTTATTAGCCTGCATATGAACCTGAAAAGCTGGTTTCCTAGATCACTCTTACAGAGAGAACAAGAGAGAACTGAGAACATGCAACTGGCATATCTTCAAAATTTTTGATTAACTGGAATTTTTCCAGCTGAAAAAAGGCCATCATTCTCTGGTTCGCCAGTCAGGTCAGTGGACCTCCCATCAACAGCATGACTTAACAGAACAGATCTGCTTTGACTAAATGCAGTTTCACAGTACAAAATGCTCCCTGATGGACACTGGCGTTGTAACACATCACTTCTTGAACAGGAAAAAGACAGTCCACAAAAGGATTTTCTTTTGATTTCTAATTAACCATGTAGGACACTGGTCTGTATACACCTCTATGGAATAGTGACTAACACTCACAGAAGCTCACTGCGTGTCAGGCCCCACACTTACCTGCTCAACTTTCAACAACCCTATGAGATAGTAACTACAGTTAATCTTAACTTTCTACAGAAGAGGAAACTGAAGCAGAGAGCAAGGTGCCCAAAGTCACAAAGTTAGTAACTGGTGTAGCCAGGACTTGAACACACGGTCTGCCTTCAGGGTCTGAGCTTATAACCACTGCACCACACTGTCTCCACGTTGCCGGGTTTATCACGCACTGTAGAATAAGGTGGCCCCTACCCCTTAGCTTACTGGGCAATTATTTCAAGTGTGTCATGGTACAAATAAAAGCAGTATCAATCATTATAAAAGGAAATATCTTAATGATGTACTTGAGAAATCAGGATAAAAACATGTTCACTTTTCTGTTGACCCCAAAGGCATAGGCACCATAGAAAAGGATATTGATGGTCTCGTCAAGGTCCTCGAGATCCCACTCTATGCTCCGGAGGTTGTTTCTCAGCTCGTTGGTGGTCCAGTCGATTTCTTCCCTCGTTGCTGTGGAAGGATCCTGGAGGAGCTCTGTCCATCTCTGAAATAATCCCTGGGCAGTGTTGACTGCTTTCTGTACCTCTCTGTAATCAAGGTGAGGGGAAAGGACTGAAATCGCAGACAACATGTTCCAGGAACAAGTTAACTACTGCCTAAGTTAACACTTGTGATCCCATACCATCTTCAGCAAACTACCATTCCCGAAAGTGTTTTTAGATCTTTATAGAAGGCTCTTTGCAAACAAATATCAAAGTTTATTTTTTTTTAAGATTTTATTTATTTATTTGAGAGAGAGAGAATGAGAGATGGAGAGCACGAGAGGGAAGAGGGTCAGAGGGAGAGGCAGACTCCCCGCAGAGCAGGGAGCCCGATGCGGGACTCGATCCCGGGACTCCAGGATCATGACCTGAGCCGAAGGCAGTCGCTCAACCGACTGAGCCACCCAGGTGCCCCAATATCAAAGTTTAAACCTTTAAAAATAACAGTATTATGTTCTCAGCTGATTTTGGAATAAAATAGTCACCATTTAAATAGCTGTATCAGGTTTATCTGAGGACAAAATTTAATCTTTCTCTGAACAGCCTATACTTAAAAGTCATATAAGCAGCAATCCTACAAATTAAAGTGCCATTAACATTCACACATGCTGCCATTTGGTGTGATAGTAATTTATACTCACATGTACAAGTCCTAACACAGCTTTCCTTTTCTTGGGGTGGGGGAGAGGGGTGGTGAGGGTAAAAAGGGTTGAGGAAGGGTTACTCATGCAGCTAGTCTTTCAGAAGAGAGGTATTTTAATCTGAGAGTTTAAAAAATTTTTTTGAATTCCAGTATAGTTAACATAGTGTTACGTGAGTTTCAGGTGTACAATACAGTGGTTCAACAATTTCATACATTACTCAGTGCTCATCATGATAAGTGCACTCTTAATTCCCTTCACCTATTTCCCCCACCTCCCCACCCCTCTCCCCTCCGGTAACCATCAGTTTGTTCTCTATAGTAAAGAGTCTGTTTCTTGGTTTGTCTTTTTTTTTTTTTTTAACTTTGCTCATTTGTTTTGTTTCTTAAATTCCATATATGAGTGAAATCATATATTTGTCTTTCTCCAGCTGACTTATTTCATTTAGCATTATACCCTCTAGCTCCTTCCATGTTGTTCCCAAAGGCAAGATTTCATTTCTTTTTATGGCTACATAATATTCCATTGTATATGTATATATACAGCACTTCTCCTTTATCCATTTATCTATCAATGGACACTCGGGCTGCTCTCATATTTGGCTTTCATTCACTGGCTGCTTACAATTTTCATATTGTAAATAATGCTTCAATTAACATAGGGGTGCATGTATCTCTTTAAATTAATGTATTTGTATTTTTTGGGTAAATACCCAGCAGTGTGATTCCTTGATCGTAGGGCAGTTCTGTTTTTAACTTTTTGAGGAACCACTATACTGTTTTCCACAGTGGCTGCACCAATTTGCACTCCCACCAACAATGCACGGAGGGTTCTTATTTCTCTGCATTCTCGCTAACACCTGTTATTAGGTTGGCTAACACCTGTTGTTTCTTGCATTTTTGGTTTTAGCTATTCTGACAGGTGTGAGGTGATATCTCATTGTAATTTTGATTTGAGTGTAGTTCAAAGATTTGATTGCAGTTTTGATCTGGATAATTATGAGTGATGCTGAACAGCTCTTCATGTGTCTGCTGGCCATCCATTCATATGTCTTCTTCGGAGAAATGCCTGCTCATGTCTTCTGCCCATTTTTTAATTGGATTATTTGTTTTTTGGGTGTTGAGTTGTATCAGTTCCTTATATATTTTGGATACTAACCCTTTATCAGAGCTGTCATTTGCAAATACTTCTCCCATTGAGTAGCTTGTCTTTAATCTGAGACATTTTTAAATCCAAAATCTCATTAGAAGATTTCCTAATATTATTAGTTTTAAATATAAATATGTATAATATATACATATAGCAAATGAATGTGTTTCTTGTTTAGAGAGTGAAACTAGGCCATTAAGTGCTATGATTTAGAATGCTTTCAAATTAGATATAGTCACAAAGTTTTAAAAATTTTCCCCACTTCCACTCTCATGGATTGTAAAAACAAATATTGTTAAAATGTCTATACTACCCAAAGCAATCTACACATTTAATGGTATCTATCAAAATACAAACAGCATTTTTCAGAGCTAGAACAATCCTAAAATGTATGGAACCACAAAAGACCCCATATAGCCAAAGCAATTTTGAAAATGATAAGCAAAGTTGGAGGCTTCACAATTCTGGACTTCAAGTTCTATTACAAAGCTGTACTCATCAAAACAGTATGGTACTGGCACAAAAACAGACACACAGATCAATGAAACAGAATAGAAAACCCAAAATGGACCCACAACCATATAGCCAATTAATCTTCGACAAAGCAGGAAAGAATATCCAATGGAAAAAAGTCTCTTCAACAAATGGTGTTGGGAAAACTGGACAGCCACATGCAGAAGAATGAAACCAGACCACTTTCTTACACTATACAAAAAAATAAATCCAAAATGGATGAAAGACCTAAATTTGAGACAGGAAACCATCAAAATCCTAGAGGAGAACACAGGCAGCAACCTCTTTGACACTGGCCAGAGCAACTTTTTACTAGATGTCTCCTGAGGCAACAGAAGCAAAAGCAAAAATAAACTATTGGGACTTTATAAAAATAAAAAGCTTCTGCACAGCAAAGGAAACAATCAACAGAACTAAAAGGTAGCCTCCTCCATGGGAGGAGGTATTTGCAAGTGATATATCTGATATAGGGTTAGTATCCAAAACCTATAAAGAACTTATCAGGCGCACCTGGGTGGCTCAGTCAGTTAAGTGTCTGCCTTCAGCTCAGGTCATGATCTCAGTCCTGTGATCGAGCCCCACATCGGTCTCCCTGCTTCTTCCTCTGCCTCTGCCCCCAATTCATGTATGTGTTCTCGTGCGCTCTCTCTCAAGTAAATAAATAAAATCTTAAAAAAAAAACCAACTTATCCAACTCAACACCCCCAAAAACAAATAATCCAGTTAAGAAATGGGCAGAAGACACGAATAAACATTTTTCCAGAGAAGACATACAGATGGCTAACAGACACATGAAAAGATGCTTAACATCACTCATCATCAGGAAAATACATCAAAACTACAATGAGATATCACCTCACACCAGTCAGAATGGCTAAAATTAACACCACGGGAAACAACAAATGTTGGCGGGGATGCAGAGAAAGGGGAACCCTCTTACACTGTTGGTGGGAATGCAAGCAGGTGCAGCCACTCTGGAAATAGTATGGAGGTTCCTCAAAAAAAGTTAAAAATAGAACTACCCTATGACCCAGCAATTGCACTACTAGGTACTTACCCAAAGGATACAAAAATATCAATTCAAAGGGTTACATGCACCCGATGTTTTCAGCAGCATTATCAACAATAGCCAAACTATGGAAAGAGCCCAAGTGTCCATCAACTGATGAATGGATAAAGATGTGGTATGTGTGTGTACATATGTATGTACAACACACACACACACACACACACACACACACACACACACAGGAATATTACACAGCCATAAAAAAGAATGAAGTCTTGCCATTTGACATGGGTGGAGCTAGAGAACGCTAAGCAAAGTCAGTCAGAGAAAGACAAATACCATATGATTTCACTCATGTGGAATTTAAGAAACAAAGGAACTTTGGCACGGGGTGTGGGGGAAGAGAGGAAAACCAAGAAACAGACTGTCAACTGTTCAGAACAAATTGATGGTTACCAGAGGGGAGATGTGGGAGGAGGCGATTTGGGTTGAATAGGTGACGGGGATGACGGAGGGCACTTGTTGTGATGAGCAGTGGGTGTGATATGGAAGTGCTGACTCACTAAATTCTACACCTGAAACTCCTATTACATTGTATGTTAAACAACTGAAATTTAAATTAAAACTTGGAAAAATAAATAAATAAATAAAAGTGATAACACATTAAAAAAAAGACCAACCACTTCTGAGGTAGCATTCTGTACTGGTGTAGTGAGAATGACACTATAACTTTTCAGAAGTGCAAATAAAGATAGACACAGAAGAGAAAAAACGAAAAACAAAAATATTGGCTGCCTAACAATGGGCCAATATCCACAATTTAAATGTTATAATTGAGTATTACTGCATATAAAAGCCAAGAAGGAATCATTTTATAATTATACGGTCTCTAGTATACAAAGATTATAATCATGCACCTAAACGAAGAGATCTGTTTTGATCCTTCAATGACTTCTTAACCAATTCTTCCGGGTATTCACTCAGGGTGTTTGCTGCCTATAACTTTAAGATGGAAACTGCATGCATTCTATTCCCTCTGACAGGTTTTTTTTTGTTTTAAGATCTTATTTTTTTGACAGAGAGAGAGAGAGCAAGAGAGAGAGAAGCAGGCTTCCTGCTGAGTAGGGAGCCTCATGTGGGGCTCAATCCCAGGACCCTGGGATCATGACCTGAGCCGAAGGCAGACCCTTAACAACTGAGCCACCCAGGCGCCCCTCCCTCTGACAGTTTAAATACCAGAAGATAAAGCACTAGCAAAATGAAGAAAGGTGACTTACAATACTATTTCGGTTAGAAAATACCCATGAGAGCTAAAAAGTGTCAAAACAGAGAATATAGCTATGGGGCCAGGCTGAATATATCACTAACCTATATGGCCAACAGGATATCTCCCCAGGTCTGTTTAATACCCAGTTTATGGGTTAGCAGAGTCCTCTCACTGTTCCTCGCATACCAGCCGTATACTTTCAGTGTTAATGAGAAACTCTATTTAACATAAAAAGGGGAGGAGCTAAATACATGTTTATACTTTCTCGTAAGGTTTCTGGCTGATTTGGTGGAGAAAGAGGTACACATCTTCCCATAATACCAGGTACTTGGTTTACTTCTAAGTGTTGAATATCACCCATGATAACAGAAGACAGGATTAAAGAGGTTATCTATAATATCTCATTTTAAAGAAGATAAAAATTAGGGGTGCCTGGGTGGCTCAGTCGGTTAGGCCTCTGCCTTTG